GAGGAGTGTCGATCGACACCATGGTGGTGTCGCTCGACACTGAGCCCGGTGCTCGTGTTTCTGCACTTTTTATGCAATTCGTCTCAGCGATCCTCATCTCTATCACAAAAACGTCATCCTCCAATAACTTATCAGTAGCTAGACCCCCGCTCTGGTCCCGAGTCCTAAACAGATGATTACTAGCAATAATGTCTTCTGAATACTCTACGACTGCCTTGTAATCCATGGCTTCCTCTACAGAAAAAGTATGGCCATCAATAGTAGGTGCTCTTCTCAACTTATCCATGTCAAAGTTCATAACCAAATCACCCACATGCAGTCCAATCGTTCCTTTCTGAACATCTATAAGAGCACCAATGGTAGCCAAGAAAGATCTCCCAAAGATAAGAGGATCTTGAGGTTCTTTGCTATACTTCAAAACCACAAAGTTTGTAGCAATTATGCATTCACCAATCCTTATTAGAACATCCTCTAAAAGACCTTCGGGAATTCTTTTGGACCTATCAGCTAGGATAAGAGAGATCCTAGTCGGCTTGAAATCTTTCAACCCAAGTCTCACAGCAACAGAGTATGGTATCAAGTTGATACCTGAGCCAAGATCACAAAGAGAGTGAGGAAATCTTTCTATGAAGATAGAGCAGTCTAGCACGAAACTTCCTGGATCAGGTAACTTCTCTAGAATCCTCTGTAGCCACCTCTTAGGTCATTAAGCAAAAATAGAGTTCTAATTAGGGTTTTTCTCTGTAGCCACCAAACAGTTCCAGAAACTTGTAGTCTTTATATCTTTTGATCTATTGAGTGTTTGGAGTTGTTTCTTTATAATATTTTCCTCCTTAGATCATCATCAATCTAGTTATGCAAGATTTAAGGATTTCTGGGTTTATGTTCTTCATGATGAATTCCAGATCTGAGTAGTTTTCTGGGTTTAGAGGATGGGTTAGATGATGATGAATCTTAGTTTCTAGGGTTGCTTAAGTATAGATTTAGGTAGATACCTTCTGGATTAGGAGATCTTAATGCTAATCTTAGCATTAACCATGTGGGGTTAGATTTTAGACATTCCAGCACTCAAAAAGTGTTCAATGGAATGTCTGATCAACTAATGTCAAAGATTTATTTACTTACCCAAGAGATTGGCTGTTAAGGAGTAGATTGACATTAATGAGCTTGTTCTTTATGCCTATTTATAGTATGTTTCAACAATGAAAGTTGAGATTAGGAAGTGCTATAGATCTGATAATCTTTGCCAAGAGATTGGACTAATTAGGTTAAGTGGTTCATTGTCTAGGAATAGATCTATCTGAGCATGTTAAGCATCCCAAAGCGATTAAGAGGATTCATCACCCCATTAGCATATCCTTAAGACACTTGTTAATCTGATTGTTTACCTGCTTTTATTTCTCCTTTCAATATTGTTTTTGTAGTTTACTTTTATGCATTAGAGTTCTTAAAACCAAACTTTCAACTGCTTGGCTTGACTTGATTAGTTATGCTATATCTTGAATGTTTACAATACATCCATTTGGATCGATAACCTCTTATGCTACATCGCACTGGAGAATTGAACTCCAAGAGCACACAAAACGCTTGTTTCAATTTGGCGCCGCTGCCATTTGGATGTTATTTGTTCCATTTAGGATCCCAGTTCTATCTAGATCAAGTTCTTTTACTTTCGTTTCTATTCAATCACTGATTTCTACCTATTGCTACTTGTCTGTCTTGCATTTCAGGTACACTCGACCGAGCTACACTCTGCACTCGATCGAGCTACACTTTGCACTCGACCGAGCTACACTCTGCACTCAACCGAGCTACAATCTGCACTCGACCGAGCCACCTGCAGATCCGATCGAGCCTAACCACGTGTTTCTGATCGAGCGACCTTACATGCACACTAGATCCAAGGGCAACCAGCACCTACTCAATTACCTCAACAAAATTGACCGCTTGCCTAGACAACTCAGAAAGCAACGCGTTCAAACATCAAACATCAATACTCAGCAAGTGGAAATGGAGCCTCCACCACGGGCACCAACCCTAATCGGAGCCGGTGATGCCCCACGAAACCACACTACTCGATAAGGAATAGTCCCTCCAGCAGTCCAGAACAACAACTTCGAGATCAAGAGTAGCCTTATTTCAATGATCCAGGGTAATAAATTCCATGGATTATTAATGGAGGACCCTCTCGATCACCTCGACGAGTTCGATCAAATGTGTGGCTTAACAAAAACCAACGGTGTGAGCGAAGACGGGTTCAAGCTGAGATTGTTCCCTTTCTCCTTAGGCGACAAGGCTCATCAATGGGAGAAGTCGTTGCCTGCCGGATCAATCAAGACCTGGGAGGAGTGTAAGAAAGAATTTATATCCCTTCTCCAATGCTCGAACCGCAAGATTGAGGAACGACATCTCTAGCTTCCCTCAGCGCAACAACGAAACCTTTTATGAAGCATGGGAGAGATTCAAAAGCTATCAGTCACAGTGTCCTCACCATGGTTTCACCAACGAGTCGCTGCTTACTACTCTCTACGAGGCATACTACCTAAGTTTCGCCTACTTCTCGATACTGCCAGCAATGGAAACTTTATAAACAAGGATGTTGAGGCTGGTTGGGAACTTGTAGAGAATCTAGCTCAGCCCGATGGAACGTACAACGAGGATTATGACAGAACTATTCGGGGCAACACAGAACAAGAGGATAAGTATAAGAAGGATATGAAGGCACTTAACGACAAGCTCGATAAGTTTTTGATGAACCAGCAGAAGAATGTTCACTTTGTTCAAGAGGAGGAGACCTTTCAACCTAATATGGTGATTGTGACAATACTGAGGAGGTGAGCTATATCCAGAATCAAGGAGGTTACCAAAAGGGTTACAACAACTATAAACCCAACCCGAACCTTTCTTATAGAAGCACCAACGTTGCAAACCCTCAAGATAAAGTCTATCCACCTCAACAACAACAATTCCAGAACAAGCCATTTGTTGGCTTTAATCCAAAACCAGCTTTTCAACCTCAACAACAGTCCGAAGGTTCTTATCAACAACCTATGGCACATCCTCCAAGGTTCCAACAACACCCTACTCATGCACCCCTAGAACAAGATGTTCAAACAATATTTAATCAACTTCTCCAAGCACAATCCAACAGCCTCCTTGAACAAGCAAAGCAGTTAGCCGAGCTTCGCAATCATATGAACACATCTATACACGAGCTGAACCAGAAGTTCGATGTTTTGAGCAACAAGGTAGCTCACTTGGAAGGCAACCAAACCTCCAATTCTTCCGGCCAGCTCCCAGGAAAGTCTATCATGAACCCTAAGGAGTTTGCTACTGCTCACGCGATTACTTTGGGAAATCCATACCCAACTATCACTGAGGACAGTGAGATTCAAGAGGGGGAGGATTCAGCCCAAACTTATGTCTTACACGGTGAACCTGATCGAGCGTACATCAGACACGACCAGATGAAGGCTTTAGTTCATGCTTTCGCCAACATTCCCTCATACAGGGAGATTCTCAAAGAAGTTCGATTGGAAAGGATGCATCAGAGGAAGAGTTGGACTCCACCATCTCAAGATTCTAGTTGTTCCAAGAAGATGGTAGATCCTGGAGCTTTCACACTCCCCTGCTCAATCAAATCAACGATCTTCAATTAAGGTTTATGCGACTCAAGAGCTTCGATTAGCTTGATGCCCCTCTCAATAGCTTAGCGGATGGGCTATACAACCTTTACACCATGCAGCTTGACAAATGTGATGGCGGACAGAAACTCGAGACAACCTGTAGGAGTGCTGGAGGATCTCCTTGTCGAAGTTGGAGGAATAAAGATTCCCGCAGATTTCCTTATTTTGGAGATAGAAAGAGAACCACAATATCAACTGATACTCGGAAGACCATTTCTAGCCTCAGTAGGTGCGGTCATTGATATGGGAAAGGGAATCATGACCCTCGATCTTGCTAGAGGAACGAAGATGAAGATCAATATGGCGTATCCATACCAAAGTACAACGTTCAGAACAAAAGAAACCTCGTCCTCCTCTCCAACTTGCACTGAACTCCATGTTATAAAGACTCTCAAGAAAGACCTAATAAGACTGGCCACCACCATTCACGGGTTAACCGAGGAGATTGTGGTGTTAAAGAAGAGGAACAACATCTTGACTTCTAGGAAAGCAAAGGGGGTACTTACTTTCAAGAAGAGATATGCTGCAAAGAATAGGTATCAGATACATTGGTCACTAGCTTTGGAGAGAATTGTCGATCCTCTCCATTGTTCAACCGCTTCGTGAGGACTATGCCAAGTCAAGCTTAGTGACTATAAACAAGCTTACTTGGGAGGAAGTCCCAATGGTATCCCTGTACATATTTCTTTAAGTTTTTATAATTTAATGTTCCTTTTAGTTTGATGTGTTTTCAGGTTTGATTGTGAGTGAATAAAGGTGTTATTGGGTCAAGATAAGGAAATAAGGAAGAAGGAGTCAATATGTATCCCTGTACATATTTCTTTAAGTTTTTATAATTTAATGTTCCTTTTAGTTTGATGTGTTTTCAGGTTTGATTGTGAGTGAATAAAGGTGTTATTGGGTCAAGATAAGGAAATAAGGAAGAAGGAGTCAATTTGGGCCTTAAAACCCAATTTCACAAGCCCATTCGGTCAATTCAACATGCACACGGTCGGGTCAACTCTACCCGATCGGGTCGTTCACAGCCGTCCGATTGAATCAATCTGAGCCACCCGATCGGGTTCATCTCAGCCGTCCGATCGGGTCAAAGGTAACGGTTGGGTCAATGGTCAACCCGATTTGAATTTCAAATTTCGGATCAAGCCCGACCAAAAACGCTCCCCTTTCAAATTTGTTTCCCCTCTCACCCTCTTTATAACCCCTAAACTCGACCAAACCTCTCATTCTCTCATTTTGCAAAAAAAAAATTAACTTATCTCTCTAGAATTCTCTCCTCCTTCTCTCTAGTTCTTAGTTGTTATAAATTTATGAGTTTGAGTCCACATTTGCTCTTTGTTCTTCACATTTTCTGGGTTTGTTTTCATAATTGAACTTTGCATTCTTATTTTCTGGGATTGTTTTCAAGATTGTTCTTGGTGTTCTTATTTTCTGGGTTACTAACCTACTAAATTTGAGTTTTGAGCTTCTCATTCCCAGGAAACAAAGATGTCTTCAAGGATTCCTCAACCCAGAAGGAAGAGCCTCTCAAGAGCACAATGAGAAGCTCATCACAGCCAATCCGCTGAAGAAATTGCAAGAAATTTCTTGATAGTCCAAGCCATGGAGCTGGACTCGATCGGGTCAGAAGTGGGAGAAGAGAAGCCCGAGCTCGGACCCGATCACCCGATCGGGCCAGTTGATCGGGTAAGACCCTCCCGATTTCCAGAGAAGAAGTTTCGATTGGGAAGAGCCCTGCTGAAGAACATGTTGATGAACCAATGGTGGATTTGGAGCCTAGGAGGGTAGTGGCACCAAGGCAGACCAAGAACCTACCTTCTCCTGAAGAGCTATACGCAATGTTTAGGCGCCAAAAGTTCGTTGGAACTCGCTATCCTCACCGGCAAACGATAAAGGAGCTGGGCATTGCACGAGATGTGGAGTTTCTGGTCGAGAGAAGCGGGCTTGGTTCATTCATGACCAGGAATTTAGAAGCCTACGATGAGAAGAAGTGCTACGTGTTAGCCTCGCTCCAGCTCCATTTCTATGAGGATGAATCTGAGTTTCACTCGGATGACTGTCTTTGATACATCACCTTCAGCGTGAGAGGTACTACCTATTCTCTCACATTTAAGGAAGTTGAGAAGCTCTATGGGTTTTTGCAAGCAAACGGAATGAGCCAAGATATGCTAAAGGAGGAGATCAAATCTGTTTGGAAAACCATTGGAGATGGGAAAGAATACACTTCTTCAAAATCCAAGAGTGCTCGAATCCAAAGTCCAGTTGTGAGGTATTTCTACAAGTCCTTGGCTAATATGATTTTAGCTAGAAAGGAAACCGGGAATGTGAATGAGAGTGAGATTCAGCTCATAGACATAGCATTGAGCGGTGTATTGCCAAGTACTAAGGATGGTAGACAACTGGTAGGAGATAGAACGGATGGTAGCATGGTCTCAGTTCTATTAGACCAGTTTATGTATTGCAAGGATTGGGTAATTAAGGCTGTTAGGAGAGGTGTGCAAGGACATCTCAGTATTGGTGGACTAGTCACTCCCTTATTAGTAGCATGTGATGTGGAATTACGGGGGAAAGTCTATAACGCTCGCTGGATTGACATTGAGACCTTGACAAGAATGCACTTCCTCGATAGTGAGCGTCCCAACGGATTTTACCTGTATTAGTTCACTCACCCTTCACTTGGAGCAGCAAGAATGGTGTTGCCAAACACCAAGCTTACAAAGATCATACTGGGTGCTAATATCGACTTTTGGCCACCTGTCTCGGCATTATATGACCCGAACTAAGTCCAAGACCAAGTTCCTAGCTTTGAGCCAGTCCAACAAACTTATGCACCTGAAATCAGAGAAGAAGAACCTGCTAGGGAAGATCAGGAAGAGGACTTCTATTTTGATGAGTGGGAAGAGTCCTCTAGGCAATCAAGGGGGGTAAAAGAAGCTCATAAAAAGATTTGCATCCTCCAGAAGTGAAACAAGTTCCAAAGCAAGACCATCAAGGCATTGAAGAACACTATGAAGGATCTTGCTGGTACAATTAAGGATATGGGGGAGCAGATTAAGGAGCTTCAGAACAAGGTTGGATGCTCAACCTCCACAACAGCCATGCCTAGTAGCTTGGGTAGGAGTGCATCAGTCAGGATACCTACCAAGTCCAACCTACCAGTTAGCTCGTCTAGAGTATCATTTGATCCAAGAAGAAGGAAGAAGTCTGTTCAGAACCAGAAGAGAACCGTGAGCTGACACGAGTGCCTCACCCGATCGCACACCCGATCGGGCCGGATCATCACGAGCGTGTAGCGGAGAAGCTCGACGTCATGAGCTCGTGGTTTGGATCACACAAAAGGTACTTCTATTACCCTCGCCTTTGTAAATACCGCTTTGCATTTTTATATTTTCTTTTTTATCCTAAGTTTTCCTTCAGATTTTTATTACACAAGGGACTGTGTAATTTAAGTTTGGGGGAGAGCTTAGGACAGCATTTGACATGTTTTCTATTTTCTTATTTTGAATTTTTTAGCATCGTGTCTTGCATTTATCTATGTGCATCAAAAACCCCTAAAAATATGAAAAATTTCAGAAAATCCTTTAAAAACAGAGTGTTCATATAGTTGCATTTGCATATTAGTCTTGCTTTAGGGATGTTGCATTTAGGATCATTGCATTAGCATAGGGAATTATGATGATTATAACCAAAAAACTTGCTGTTTCATTAGATTTAAGACCAATGCCCTCGTTCATAATTGTTTAATGCTTTCATTTGAGCTTGAAGTGAGACCGCACCATTCTTTGATCTTATAATTTGAATTCTAGCCTAAACTGAAGCTTGCTTTGATATGATGCTAAGCGTTTAGGATTCATAAGATACAAGGCATACAACATATCACTACAAGAAAAACGCTGATTTCCTACGGGCACTAGCGTGAAAAATTGGTAGGAAATAGCTGTTTCTTATGATATTCCTACGAAAAAAATGATAGGAAATCGCCCGTAGGAAATCGTAGATGGTAAGATATTGGTAGGAAAATTTTCTAGCAAAAACGAGCCGAAGGAAAATTCGTAGGTATATTCGTAGGAAAAGCGAAGGGTATTTTTGACCGTTTTCCTTCCAATAGTGCGTAGGAAATGATTTCCTTCTAATTTCCTACAAAAGTGTTTCCTTCTATTTTCCTACGAAAACTCTATTCATTCCAATTTCCTACGAATATTTTCACTCCAGTTTCCTACAAATGTTCCTTCAGATTTCCTTCAAAAGTATTTGGTAGGAGATACTAAATATTAAATAAATTTCATAATTCAATTTTAAATCGTTTATAACTTATTAAATTGACAATAAAAAGTTAAAACGATGAAAATAACAGAAAATTATCTATAGAAATATCAATGTAATACAAACAAAGTGTTGCTAAGCTTAAAAATCAATGTCATACAAACAAAAAACCTAAAAATCATAAAAATGTTCAAGTTTTTAAAATAATCAGATATCATTACTCTTGCAAACCATAAAACATCAATTGGGTCTCATCGTCGTCATCTTCAGGGATTGTCGGAGTAGGGGGTCGGTTCGTGAGGAAGACGAGCATCCTTCATCCAAAAACGTACGAAGGCCATAGCATCTTTCTCTAACCTTTGGAACAACCTGTGAAATAAAACCAGAAATTAATATCGTTATTGAATGTTTGTAAACGCAAATCTTAAAGGGAGGAAGAGAATTCCTACTTACTTTACGCATGATAGATTTAATCTCCTCAGGTGTAAGACGGTTAGACTAAACCGTGTCATCTCCTTCGGTTTGGCGTTGCGATTGGAGGAGCTCTACACTTGTTGCCTTCTCGATATAATGTTTTGTCTTTAAGTCACTTATTGTGCTTCTCTTCTTATCTAAGTGTGGAACAGTGAATCATATTTGGCTCTTCTCCTAGTTCACTTGTCTTACACATGACAAACAAAAGAAAAAAAGATTCATTAGTCAATCTTGTGCACTTAAACGTTAAACAATGGTTACAAACCAGAAATATTTGTTTACATAAGTTAAACAATGGTTAAAAAACTTAACGACAGTTCACAAGTGTGAATTAAACAAAGACTTGTGACATGAGTTACATAAAACGAAACCTTAACAAGAATCATGACTCTTCAAACCAATTGTTAAAAAAGCAAACGTGTACCAGATTATTAATAATGTGTACCAATTGTTAAAAACCATGTAGTTTAACATTGTTAAAAACCAACCATGATCAACTACTTTAATGTATGGTAACATGATTTGATAAACGTATGCTTACATGATTAGCATATGCTTAATGTATGCTTACAAGATGAAGGTATGGTTAGATGATTATGATTATGATTCATGACTAACTTCAAAAATGTTAAGTCGTTAAACAAATGTAAATAACGAAATTTGAACTATTAAGCATATAAACCAAACGTGTATGCATCATGCATGAGTTACTTTACTTGTATGCATGAGTTGTAAAACCAAACGTGTATGCATGAGTTGTTAAACCAAAAGTGTACCAGATACAAGTGTATGCATACTAGTTGAGATTCATGTGTTACTTGTAAAACTGAAAAAGCTAATAACGAGAAGTGTCTTACCCATCATAGACAGGCACGTCGATTTTCCCCACCCGGTGAAGCCCCTAACACAGCAATTCACTTAGTCAGTCTGCTCTCCTTTTACATATAATCTCAAATAAGAAATGAAATTACCATTGCCAGGATGCAAGCTGTTACCCCAGTCCCACACGAGGCCAGGGCTTGTCCACTGAGATATATGCACCAAAAAGCCTTGTAATCTTACGACTGCTGTATATTAAATAAGATTGTGAACCTCATTCTTCAAGTGGAGATGAGGATGTAATAGTTTACCTGCTTGTTCAAATCTTTTCTATAGCTCTTCTTCTGGTAAGAGTGTATTAAAAGAATCAAACATCTGCAGAAAGAAGAAATTTATCACATTAACTCTGGGGCAAGATGCAGGGGAAGTGACGGATGGAAACAAATTCTCTAGGGTGGCTTTACTTGAGGAAAATGGACACATTTGCTTCCAGGTATATGACCGCTTCTTATTCCCGGGGTTCAGGAGCAGTACCATCAAACCTTTGTAAAACCCGTAAAATAATCAGAATGCTACATTGAGTATCAACTTAGTACAAAGGCAAATCACACTACATGAAAACAATCAAATTGCTAGGAATATTTGCGGGGGAAATAATCACTCGAAAATTTGCGATAGACTTACTAGACATTTGCTACAACCGACACATCCATAGCAATTTCTAAGGAAATGATCATTCCTTGTATTTCTCTCGCAAATTTGCGACGGGTTTGCGATGATAATTTTCCATAGCAAATTTATGAGGCATAGACAATTGATTTGCTAGATCCATCACAACTCCGTTGCAAATTGAAAAAATAAGATTTGGAAAAGTATTTATAAAATTTAATCGAATTTATTTTTAAATACATTTGAGTGTTCATAAGATTAATTAGAGTATTCTCCTTCATCGAACTTTTAAAATTTGTTAAATTTCACAAATCCGTTAATCCATCCAAGATGTCTTAATTCTCTACAAAGTGGACTAATAGGTATAATAGCATCTTTTCTTTATTTCATTAATATGGTTATTGATTATAAAAGTGAATATAAGAAGCTTTAAGGTTTCCTTCCAATAGAAATAATATTTATGATCATTATAATTTTTTACATAGAAAATTTGCGAGAGATATACGATTTTAGAAACTCTTAAAAAGGTTAGAAATTTTTTAAAGGTTTCCTTCCAAAACGTTTTAAACACATGTATGATGAAACTATAAACTCTAAAAAAAAATCTAAATACAATAATATACACAAAACTAAGATCCAACACTTATAAAAACATTATAGTTTTCAAGTCCATTATTTTTTCAAACCTTAACCCCAAATCTTAAACCTTAATTCCAATTCCAATCCCTATACCTCAAACCTTAACCCCAAACCCTATACTCCAATATATTTCTCCTTCTCCAAAGTAACTCACAAACTATAAAATAAAAGTTTATAATAAGTGATGAAATATGTCAGCAAATTAATGAATTTGCAAAATCATGAAGATATTTTATAAAAGTTAATTAACCCTTAAAAGTGAATCATGGCATTAACTTTTTCAGAAACAAACACTTTCTTCTTCTTTTCTTTCTTACTCTGTGGGGTCTGTTTCAAGAAGATAGCACCCATGTCTCTAGCCAGTGACAACCCTATATTTTTATACTCTTAAGCTTATGTTTTGTGCATTATTTGCATGACTAGATCTCTACTTCTTAGGATTTCTAATCTCTTTCTAGGGTCTTTTTCATAGGCATTTGCATATCATCTATATTTTTTAGCAAAAACAGGCACACTCGGACATTACGAAACACGGACCCGATCGAGTGTATCCAACCCGACCAAGCGAGCACGATCAAGCACCCGGACTCAGAGGAGGAAGCTGGACACGGAAGAGCCGAGAGAGGACCCGAAAGAGCCCCACATGCACCCGACCGAGCTCTCTTTAAACCGACTTTGTAATTTGTCTTTTTGTGTTTTAAATCTAGTCATTTTTGTAAACCTAAAATACCAAAAATCTAATCTAAGAATTTATTTATAGTTCTACTAAAAGGTATAATCCAACAGTTAAAAAAATAGAAATTCAAATTAAATTTTTCATTTTTCGTAAGAGAATATTTTTTGCATTTTTGTAACTCTTGATATATCCAAATTATTATTTATTTCAATAAAATAATGATTAAGAAAAGGAAAAGATATTGCAAGTTGTTTAGCAAAAAAAAAAAAAATTGCAAGTTTCTGATTGGCTAATATATTGAGACAAGGATTCCACTTTTCCACCGTTGATTGCTAAAGATCCAAATGACCAAATCTTCTCCTTCTATTTCTCCTTCTCTCCTCTCTCGTTTCTTACACCTTTGTCCAAAAACCTTTCATTTTCCAAACCTAAATTAATTAACTCTATCTATGTCTTATCCTGCTCTCACCTTCTTCCCAAGATCTGAATTTTTTTTCCATTCACCACCATCACTCAGATCGAAATGAGGCGAGGCCTACCTCTCTACCTTAATATTCTTGGTAATGTTCTCTTTTTGTTCTTATTCTTCAGTGTCTTAAGTTTTGTCTCAGATTCTAAAAGAAAATGTTTTTGTGTTTCAGATTTGGATCTAGTAAATATTCACTAAAAACAGTTGGGATCTAGGGATGAGGACAGAAAACGGTGACAGAGGAGAACAGCAGCGGAGGAGACGGCGGACTAGTACGGCAGCGGCGGAGATGGCGGACTAGAACGACAGAGGCGGAGACGGCGGACTAGTACGGCAGAGGCGGCGACGAATGACTGGTACGGCAGCGGCGGAGACGGCGAATTAGTACGGCGGAGAGCAAGATTTGAAGTTTTTTTATTTTCTTATTCTTTTCTGTAATTAAATTTGTTTTGTTTAATTGTAATCAAAATTAATAAACAAAAATGATATTCTGATTAACAAATTAACAATCGAAATAAAAAAATCATTTTTGATTTAATATATAATAGTTAAACTTTCAATAGAACTAAATTTAGAATAATTTATATATAAAATATAATTTTAATTAAAAATAAATTATTTGAAAGAATTGAAGTTGCAAGGTGTTTGCTACCAACAATATCCTCGCAAAGTGCTACGAAATTTGCGAGGTGTGTGAAACGTCCCAATGTTTGCGAGGAATTTGCCAATTGCGAGACGCAAATTGCGAGAGACCGCTGTTTGTCGTAATTTCCTAGCAAAACACGTATTGCGAGGGACTAGCTAGGAAATTTTCTCTCGCAAAACGAGTGTTTTCTTGTAGTGTCATCAGTCCACACAAGTAATAACTAATTAAATTATATTACCTGGCTTTGGAACGAGGGTCTATGTGCTGATAAGTCGGATCCTCCATATTTTTCTTGATTTTCAGAAGGCTAGCTCCGCCGGTGAACAGAAGATTAGCGCCGCCGGTTAACAGAAGGATAGCTACGCCAATGAAGCAATGTGCGGCAAAATCGTTTGTGAGTTTCTGAGAAATCGAGTGGTTTCAATCGTTAGTGGAGAAGAGACTAAAGAGTATGTGGGTAGAGAAGAGAGTTGAACTGCGGCGTGGGAGAGGATAGAGTTTTCATCTCCTGTATCCTTTTTTGGGAGGAAGGAATCTCCATTCTCCCCTTCTATTCTATATTTTGTTTTTTTTTTTGTTAAATCGAAAATTGCTTAAATTACTTTTATGTCCAAACAAAATTTCTTATATTACACTACAAACCTTGATTTTATCCACCCATCCAACACTAAATGGATCCTACCCACAAACTCATTAAAAAAAACAAAACAACAAAAACAAAAACTCTAACCTAAACGATGAATTGCTCATCTTCTTCTTCTCTTCTGTTCTCTCTAAGTGTTCGCTGAGGTAGTAATCGAAGAGAAAAATTCTTAAAATGCTCAAGAGTTTTGAATTGGGTATTCGTTGTTCTCATCGATGTTGAGAGTGTGGTATAATAATCAACAAATAGTAGAAAAAAGAAGAAAGAAAAAGAAAGAGGTTGTACCGGCGGACGACGAAGTTCCGGTGAAAGAGGGAGGTCCGGCGAAAGAGCAAGTTTCGGCGGATACTAGAGTTGCAGCGGAGGAGGACGTTAGAGTGAAAGAGCATATTCCGGCGGACAAGGGAATTTTT